ACGGACCGGACCATGGCTGAACGACAGGCTCCATTGAGAGGTCCCCAGGTCATGACGTTCACTTCCAGCTGTACCTTTCCGGGCTGCCGTCAGTACAACCCCATCTTCGTCCCTTCTCCATCACGATCGCCTCGTGTGGCTGGATGGAAGCTCCAACACATTGGCCCCTCCCTACCACTGATAGCGTATACAAGCGCGTTGTGCGTTGACGGAATCGGGTACTCGAGCTTGGCTCCTGCGGCCAACATAAAGTGAACGTACGTAACTGGTGCCTCCGTTTCAATGGGACCTCGCAAACCGAACACTTCGCCGGCAAAGACAAGAGCCTCGACACTCTTGTCGTCGTTGAAAGCATGCGGCACCGACTCACGTGGGACGTCTTGGTAGCGGGGCTGGATCATTTTACGGAGCTTAGGAAGGTTGACCCATAGCTGGAGACCGTGCGCCGGGTCGTGACTCTTTGGCATTTCCGAGTGCATAATCCCTCGTCCAACCGTCATCCACTGCAGATCACCAGGTCGCAGTTCGCCTTCATTGCCCAAAAAATCTTCGTGTTGAATGTTGCCCTTAGACGTGGGGAGCATGTAGGACACGGTCTCAAATCCACGATGTGGGTGCGCCGGAAAGCCGCCGGGAAGTCCAACGCTCGCTTCGTCCAGCATGAGGAAAGGGTCGAGAGTGCGCAATTGAGATGGACCGATGGAGCGATAGAGCGAGCACCGGCACCTTCGCCTTGCTCGTGAGCTACGAGTTTCTGAGCGATTTTTGGCGAGACTGGAACATCGTTGTGGGAGGCTACGGAGCTTGCTGCGAGGCAAGTGAAAAGAAGAATAACCTGAAAATCCTCAGCTCTACAGCTCGCTTGATTACATTTAACCGAACAAGACGACAGGATTGCGGCTGCATTGTTGCAAGACGATAAGTTAACTGTTTTTTTTTCTTCAAAAAGTGCACAGTATTTGTCATTTGTTTTCTTATTTCAGTAATATCTTCATTGTTTTTTTTTTTAAGATTTGAGTCTAGATAGAGCACTTTCTGGCGTCGCTCGCTTCAGGTTGCAACTCTAAATGTTCAGACAGGATCGGAGCCACTGTAGCTGGTGCTCGTGCTCGTTCGGGTGTGGCACTGCGTATCGAAAGACTTGGTAGCAACAGTGTCGGTAGTGTAATTCGAAGTGATAGAGTCGTTTTGGCTCGTGAGCTTGTCTGCTCGACTTCAGCACGCTCTTCTGTCGTTGGTGCCTCATTTACTGTATTTTTAGCCACATTTCCCGTCAATTTCTCCTCAATTAGTGGTAGTGCCCGCTTGACTTTTCCTGCTTCACTCGCTCGTCTCGCCATTCGGATCTTACTCTTCATCCGACGACGGACTCGGGACATCCTGAAAGCTGATTGGATAATAATCGCCTTCCGATGACGAAAAGCGTATCCTCTCATCGCCAACTCATCCACTTTTTCCTGAACTGTGAGACTTTCCAATGGCAACACTCGCATTGTCAGAACCAGTAGCAGATCCGTAAACCGGAACATGTTCGGAGGACATCTGAGATCCGGGTTTGTACCGGTATTCACGCTGCCATTGAGTCCGTCATAGTTCCCGAGACCCAAACGAACGCGATACGTAAGTTCCGCGATCCGAGCTTCGATATCGTGGAAAGTTTCGCGTCGACGTTGATGAACCGCAAGCGACAAAGCCGCCCACTCGTCCGGCTTCATATCCTCAGTGGCTACACTATCGAGCATATTCTTAAACGTACCCAATCCCAAAGGAGGTTCGAGTTTTTTCAGTAATGCCATCAAATGTTTCCGATGTAACAATCCCAATGCGTCAGT